CGAAATCCTATTCGTTGGTGACTTTTGTAGTGGAAGTCAATTTTTTTCGCCGATGAGGTTTTTTGTTTGGGTGGGTATTCACCTATAACCCAAACAACCTTCGACATGAAAAATCACGACCAAACACCCGATACTTTAGTAAAGGCTTTCAAGAAATGTCTTATTTTAAAGGGTTTAACAGACACATAAATCATAATCTGTCTTTGTGGGCAATCGATTGGGAACCCTGAAAATCATGAATTCTGCAGCGATATTTCGAAGACGATATGAAGCTCAGCGTAATCCAAACTAAGGGAAACGTAAAAATTAATTTCTCGGAAGTAAATTTCTTGTTATGCACACGAAGCTTTATGCCTAAGATTACTCCTGTCAATTCTATTTAAATTTTCTGGTCACTGACCCGCCTGACAACGTGTGCCCTTGAGAAAACTTTGTTCCTATGACGTCCTCATCGTCAAAATCAAGCCAAATTCTGTTCGTCTTATTGGGCTACATCTAAATCAATTTAAGAGCGTAAAGAAGATCACACCCTCAGGAAACCGTTTTGCAGGTCTACCTTCTTCGCATACGTAATTTAAAAATGGAACGAGCGAAACACTAACGGTTTCAGGAAAATATTTGTATTTATATGGGTAGTCTGGCGTGCATTCAAAATAGTAAAACGTAGCCTAAAAATGGCAAACATGGCGAGAATGGACGCAATATAAACGGAAAGGTATGTTCTTAACTTTTTAATAGAAAAACGTCAATATTTTATAGCAACGTGAAAGAAATGGTCAAGTGTCTATCGATTATTGGCTTCATCGCTTCATTGAAGCACTCCTTTAAAACGGTAGCTTATAAAAGAAAGTTCTTAATTGAACGAAATCATATTCGTCGGCGACTTTTGTTGTAGACGTTTATTTTATTCAACGATGAGGTTTCATGTTTGGTTGGGCCTTCAAATTTGACCCAAACAACCTCCTAAATGAAAAGGCATGTTCAAACACTCGCTACTTCAGCATATTCAGCGTATTCAGCGATATTTCAAGGCCAAACTGAAACTCAGTGTAATCCAGAACAAACGGAAAGTGCAAATTAAGTTAACGAAAGAAAGGTTTCTTTTATAAACACAAAACGGTATGTTTACAATTATTCCTGTCATTTCTAGTTAAATGTATTAGTCACTGATCGGCATGACCGCATGTGACCTTATGAAAATTTTGTTCCTACAACGTCCCCATCGGTATAATCAAGCAAAATCCTGTTTCTTTGTTGAAGCACATCTCCGTCAACTCAAACAAGTCAGGAATACCACAACGTCCCAGAAGACTGTTTTGAGGTCTATACTCAGACTCTAGGCTGTTGGCAACCGTTATACCTGAAGTCGCAGTAATTCATAGGAGATATTTAGACGTGGACTTCACTTAAGCCCTGTTTTTGTACGTTATTTTACATGTGCTTTCATATTTATTCAGTCTTTTTTGCATGATGAGACATTCTGTACATCTAAAAACGAAGTTTGCTAAATTACGTCCACTTTTTGTTTTCGGATTTTGCGCTTTTTTTAAAAAAATCTGCAATTCGAAGCAACATAAAACTGCCTTTAATGTTGCTTTTTTTAAAGTTGTACCTACTTGACGTAGATATTAGATGCATGCATTGGCTTCCGTTTGCGAGTGATTGGCAAACATTCGTAGGTTTCGACGCCTCTCATGAGTTAGGTTACCTACTGTATCAGTTAAGCCAAAGTTTCGGAGTTTTTTGCTTATTTGTAACGCGGTCAGGAAAGTTTTTGGCTAGAGTCAACTACTGGATTTCTTACGCTTACTCTGTTTGAATGGCGCGATATCAAGGAATATACGATTTGTTTAAAGGAATAGTGTCAAATCACTGTGTCATCGTTTTTTTGATTTTGTCAGTTGCGAAATCATCGGTTGCTCGTGGGGTCTGCAACAGTCAATTTCTCCGCTCCCCAGCGGAGAAAAATAATTTGACCAATAGGCGTCCAATCAGAGACCACGATATCGTTTGTTTCCTCAAACTGCAAGGTCAAAGCAAATCCCTTGTCTGTGGGGCGAAGGTACCCGATCCAAGGTCTTTGTCGCACTTAATCGACATTCATATAACAGAATATGTCAAGCGCTCCTCCCGCACACTGCGATCGGCATGTAGGCTACACGGACGTACTATTTCTACACGCATCCAATACTGTTACAGCCGGTGCGGAGAACTGATCGAGGTGATCACGTGGGTTCAAGGGGATCGCAGTGAGAATCAGCTGGCATTAACTTACTCCAACATTAAGTATCCGTCGAAAACTGGCGTGTATGGCTCTTTACGAATAACGGCAAACTTTACCCATTAATATGAAGCCATGCATTCGAGCATTCAGAGCCTGCTGAAAAATCATCGCGAGGGAAAATGAGTGCGAGCCGGATTACACGTGTGTTGGGCAGCAGGTGCACTCTTCCCCTCTTTCTCGATTGTGCATTTAAAGGTAGGCCGGGGTTATAAAGCGCTTGTTTGCTTTTGACTGCTCTGGTGCAACCTGCAGCGCCTGTGACATACTGTAGGTGGGCTAACTCATAAAATGTCAACCGAAATTCCGAAATGCGTTTTCGTTTCGAAAAGATTAATTATGCAGGGTTGTAAAACTAGTCAGCCGGCAACATAATTCTATAATATTTCAGTTACCTCAGGATGCCAACTTTCAGACGAACTTCCTACCGGCTACGCGCAAAAGTTACACTAAGTGAAAAATGACTACTTATGTAGCATGAACTTTTCTCATTGATTTTCGATGCCCCTAAATGTCCAATTGTATTGAATGGAAGATGTGCATGAAAGTATTCATTCATTTGCTCATTCATACCCGAAGGAGGGACATACTTCTCTTCTAAAAAAAGTTTCTAATTTTGGGAATTTTAAATACCGCGAAATGCCCGCTCATAAATCGTCATATCTTTGCATTTACCAATGTGGATTGTACGGTTAACACTATGGATCAAATCCAGTGTTTAATTTTATGAACCCTATATTGCGTCCATTTATTGCTGTAGAGAAATTTGTGGTTTTCCGTACGCGGAAAATATACAGCTTGTAGTTTGGAAGTCCTGAATACATTTATGACGGTAGAACGGGTTCAAAACTATTCAGGAATTGTAAAAATTTTTTAAACTGAATAATGTCCCTTCTTTGAGCATAAAATTAGAAGAAGATGTAATTTTCTACCGAATGAGCAAAAGAATGAATATTTTCGTTCATGTTTTCCATAAAATGTAATTGGATTTTTAGTGGCATTGAAAATCAATGAGAAAAAATCATGCTACATAAATAGGCATTTTTCACATAGTGTAACTTTTGCACGTAGCCGGTAGGAAGTCCATTCGAAAGCTGGCGTCCTGATGTAATCGAAATATTATTGAATTATGTTGTAGGCTGACTAGTTCTACAACCCTACTTAATTGATCTTTTCGAAGCATAAACGCATTTCGTAACTTCGTTCGAAATTTCACGAGTTAGCCCACCTACCGTACGCCTGCCTAACGATGAAAAAGACAAAAACATGTACTTCGATTTTTATTTTGCGCACCTCACCCCACAAGCCCTAGCGAAAACGCCCCCACCCCTATGCATTGTGGCATCCAGATTTGTCAGGAGTTCCCATTTTTCTTTTGGTAGTTTGCAGTTATGTTACTCAGGATGGCGGAATGAGGGAGAAAAGTTAGTCCTGGGAACGAGCACTCTATTCTGCCAGTCTGTGTAAGACGATCGCCGAAACTCGCCCGTTGTCCGTTGGATTCCTGAGGATTTTAGAACATTCTGGCCTCTGCCATGCCGGATTGGCTGTCTCTTGCTCGAGGACCCCCTGTTGTAATCAAGCGGTGTGAGTGTGTGCAGTCTGAACGCCACCATAATCAGGGCCTGAGAGAAGGAGCCTGAATGAGGGGTCTATTGTGCACGGAACCCAGAGTTGTCCTCTCAGGCGACAGTGGACACTGGCGAAGCCAGGGCTGGTGTTGACTGCGTCCAGTCATGCCTGAGAGTCTCTGAGATAGTGGTGGCAGCCGCTTTTGTAGGCTCGTGAACCAAGCTCGAGTGGTGTCCAGTCAGTGTGTGTTGCATTTGCCGAGGGGTGGTGTGCCAGTGGCTTGTTATGCTGGTTGCAGGGGGTGGCGTGTTCAAGTGACGCATGGGTTGCCGCGACGCTGTGTGGACGTAATTGTGTCCGAGCTGAAGTCGGTCGAGTGGCTTCAGGTCAGTTCGTCTGGGTGAATGACCTTGAAGCAGCGAGGTCTTGAACAATGACCCCGGGCCAGTCATGATGGCTAGCCGCCACACCCCTTGAACCAACAACTCGAGCATTAGACCCGCCACTGATTGGGTCACAGGCGTGCGCGAGGACACTACGCGTGCTCGAGGATTCTGCACACGCCGATTGGCTGGCTGATTTCAAGCGACTCGGTGGAAAATACATGCTACCATTGGTGCTTTCAGGTCGGACTGGTTGGAGAAGTAGAGCGTTATGTTTGCATTTAATATGATTCTGTTTGGCTCAGTCAGCAAACCTCACTGCCACACGCTCAACAGAAATAAAGCAGACAATTTGTCACCATCCAACAAGTTTCACCCTGAAGTCAGGACCAAACGTGGAGCAAATTAGAATAGCAGGAGCAGCAGTGTGGCAACTTTACCCAATGACTGAATAGCACTGTATTACTTAAAAGTGCGGAATAACAGTCAGTAACTTCTGCAACAATTCCGTTTATATCAGTCAACTGTGGACTTCAAAGGACTCCCCGTTATGTCAGATGATTTACCTGCAACGAGTGATGATAATTTTTTCAGGTTTACTCTGCTGGTCCCTATATCAACTCCACGTCTGGTCACAATCAAACCCCGTCGAAATTGCAACACCAATTTCAACTGAGTTCGTGGCGAGGCGGTGCGCGTTCCTCTTCTCCAACAACGCGTCTAAGGATCATCAGCAGTTCAAGCGCTTGACGCCGTTCCACAGTATGCAGTACTTCCTTTCCCTGAACAAAGCCTCTGGCGAACTCTGCAGGACCTTCAAGCAAGACCTATTCCCAACCGAAGTGCCTGTAACGGCCGAAGAGAGGGATTTTCCTCTCGGTTTTATCCTAACTGTGTACAAAAGCATCAATCAGGTCGCGCGCCTGCTGCGTCTCATATATCGGCCACAGAACTTCTACGTCATTCACGTGGATAGAAAGTCACCACAGGAGTTCTATGATGCAGTTCAAGAAATCGCAACATGCTTCGGTGCCAATGTTGGTGTGGTTCCTCGAAGCCTGACTGTCAATGTCACCTGGGGAAAATACACGGTCCTGGAGCAGGAACTCGTTGCCGCGCGAATGCTCCTACAAATGGGGAAGTGGAAGTATTTCATAAATCTGACAGGCCAGGAAATGCCCCTGAAGACTAATTTGGAACTGGTCCTGGCACTCAGAATGCTAAACGGTTCCAACATAGTTGACGCCACATTAAAAAGACAAGACATGCCGAGAATCACCAAAGAAAAATTATCTTTTCCCGTAAGTATGTAACACTGCACTTCCAGTTTAAACAGTAGTCTGTTCAATATCCGCCACTGCATGCGGACGGGCCGTTTCAGAGTGCCAGATGGTTCCGTCAACAGAGAAATAAGGATGTAAAATTCGCAATTTTCATGCAGACGCTGGATTAAAAAATATCGATGTCTGGTCCCTTCAAGGTGAGACGCAGGAGTCGCACTGGACCAACATGGGGGACAGACCAGAGTACGACACACGTTACTGGATTGTGTAGCCACACATGGGGGGGCATTGGCATGTCTAGGTGCAGTCCCGCGTCGCACTAGCCACCTGCGGCCAGTCCCTGCATCAGATGACTGATCAGCTCGACAGTGAACTATTGCCTGAAACAGTGAAGGCAGAGTGAGGTTGACTCGTGCGACCCCAAGCTCAAGTTATGCAGCACATTATTATCGTTTTAGGCTATCTGACACGCTTTTAAAATATCACGGCTGGCTACAACCCGGGGAGTTGGAAGTTGGCTAGGTCCCCCTCTTGGAGGAGCAAGTCAAGCTTTAATGACCTCGATTTCAGGACTAAGTCATGGGGCCCGAGCCTTCCCCCACATTGGTTTTTTTGTAAACCCGTTGCTTCGGCATGCGTACGGCACGCGTAGACGGCTTGCTCAGCTTTTCCAGCTATTGTGCCTAATCCCACCTCCAGTCCTCCTACAGTAAGTGGGTTAACTCATGAAATCTAAACAGAAATTCCGAAATGCGTTTGCATTTCGAAAATAGTAATTAAATGGCGTTGTGAAACTAACCATCATACGGAATAATTCTATAACAGCTTAGTTACCCCACGACACCGGTTCCCGAACAAACTTCTTTCCGGATGCATCCAGGAACCACACTCCGTAAAAAAAAGGCTACTTAAGTAGCATGCACTTTTTCATTGATTTTCGATGCCCTTAAAGATTCAATTATATTTCATGGAAAAAGGCACGAAAATATTGATTCTTTTGCTCATTCGATAGAAAATGACATCTTCTTCTAATACTTTACTCGAACGAGGGACAAAATTCTGTTTTCAAAAACCTTTCCAATTCCCGAATAATTTTGAACGCGGTCTACCGTCACACTTGGATTTAGGGTTACAAAACAACAAGCCGTATATTTTCCGCGTACGGAAAACCACACATTTCTCTACCGCAATAAAAGGGGTCCAGCTCTGTCAGCCCAGTCCGACCTGCCGTCCTCCTACAGTAAGTGAGCTAACTCATAAAATCTCAACAGAAATTCCGAAACCCGTTTTCGTTTCGAAAAGAGTAACTATGTAGGGTTATAAAGCCAATCATCGTGCAGCATAATAATATAAGAATTCAGTTACCTCAGGAGGCCAGCTTTCGAAAGGACTTCTTTTCGGATGCATTCAGGAACCATACTCCGTAGAAATTGACTACTTAATAACATGTGTTTTTTCATTGATTTTCGATGTCCCCAAAGATCCAATTATATTTCATGGAAAACTAATATAAAAATATTCATTCTTTTGCTCACTCAGTAGAAAAGATCGTCTTCTTTTAATTTTACACTCGAAGGAAGGTTATAATTTGGTTTTATAGAACTTTTCTAATTCCGAATAATTTTGAACCTAACCTGCCGTTACACTTGCATTCAGGGTTCCCAAATTACAAGCCGTATAATTTCCGCGTGCGTAAAACCACACATTTCTCTACGGTAATAAAGGGTGACCATATAGGGTTCATAAAATTAAGGAGCGGATTTGAGCCGCATTGTTAACTTTTCGTCGGTCCTGAGCATACATTTAGCTAACGGGTATCTGGCTGGAAGCTGTAAAAGACCTTAGTAATTTCGTCGGTGCGGTACTCTGCCTACCACAGCAACCGCAATTTCAACTGTCATTCTTTAGTGCACAGGAGCTGCTATCGCTTTGAATGGTCATAGAGAGAGTTTTCATGATAAAACAGTGCAATCTGGAAGAAAGGACTATGGCTAGTCCCTCGCTCCCGTAATTTTTTCCAGCGCTTGCTGCTTATGCGTTTTAATACTATCCTAGTGCGGTTAGGGAGCGCTCACCCTTCCTTAATTCCATCTCTGTGTGGTCGCGTGTGGGACGGATCCGTGCATTATTATCAAGGTGTAAGGGGCTACCCATGGCGCCCTCGCACCAAGGACATTTCGACCGTCGCGAGGGACAATGTCCAGCGCGCGCGCGCGCGCACTCCACGGAGTGGCTGCTACACCGGGTCCTTGTCCGTGAATTGGTTTATGATGAGGCGGCCTTGCATAGCATCTATCGCACTCTGCCCTTCCTCTCCGATGGTGAGACAATGCCAAGGCTACTGGAGGTGGGCGCGGGCGCCCTGAATGACAAATCCGAACAGCCGGCCACATGACAGGTCGACTGTCGTGCTAGACGATGTCCGCCGTGTGTTCCACAGCAAGGTGAAGCAGGCATGATGACTTGCGCGAGAGAAGACTTGAGTAGCTCCGACCGCGCTATTTTCTCCTCTCTGACGTGAAACCGGTGTGAAGACATCGTCTTGAAGACCGGAGGCGGGAGAGCGCCCAGGTGACTGGCACGGCCGGACCCTCACCTCGGCGTTCCACCACACCCCCTGGTCCCCAACAAACACTTGATCAGGATTTTAACTAACAACAAAACAAAGAGGGAGGATGACAGAAAAACCGCGCACACGACCTGTATACCCAGAGGGAGCGTACGCGCATCTACCAACAGGGGACCAGGGGCCAGAGATGTGCCATAACTGACAAGGCTGCGAGAGTCACGGTTTGCCTAATTATAGCACAGCAAGCGTATGTAATCCTTAAGGTCCGAAGTGAGATGTCAAGTGTGGACAAAATTAGAGATTAAAACACTTAGTGGTATAGACCTCTCTGAAGTAGACAAACAGAGCAGGACTTAATTGTATCAAAAATTTCGCGACGGCTCGTCAGCTGCGTCCTGTCGCTTCATAACACAGACAATGAGTGGGAATCATACAACAGATTTGAATTCGTGCAGAAAATCAATGCTGGTCATGATTTGGGTAAAGCTGGCTAATCGATAAAGTTAGTAACTCGAACACCGTAGGGGAAGAATGGTGAAAAAGGGGGAGCGTTAACGAGCAAAAAAGTGAGAGGGGAAGGAAAAAGCATGGAGATAGAGGCTACCATGGTAATGTTAGGCTAACCACGTGTTCAAACTGTTTACAAAAATCTGGTTTCACCCATCGTATATAGACCGCCTCCAGGTAACGCAATGTCCCAGTTGTTCGTGTCCGAACAAGTACTCGGAAGGAAGTTTTAGGGTCGACGGAATGACACATACAGTGTTGATTTACCATATCGATTAGCCAACTTTACCCAAAGCATGACCTTGCTGTTTCTGCATTGATTTTTTGCACGAATTCAAATCTGTTGAATCCTTCCCACTTGTTATCTATGTTGTGAATCGACAGGACGCAGCTGACGAGCCGTCGCGAACTTTTTGGTACTATTAAATCCTGCCCTGCTTGCCTACTTCAAATTCGTACCGGGGACAAAATGCTTCAAATTATAGACCTCACTCAAGATGATAGTCTGCGCAGACGCCAATCACACCGCTATGTCTGTCAACTTGGAATTTCGAACTGGTTATGGTTGAGCCCCATTCACCGAATACGTCTGGTAACTAGGAGCTTGAGCTTGTCTTCTCTCCTGGGGTGGCGAGAATTCATCCTAAGGTGCGACGCCACTTCTGCGCCGACCCGACAGACAGGCCGACTTACAGCCATGTCAAATCATAAGGCCACGAATATCTACGTCTCCAAACACACGCCAGTCAACAAAAGGACTCTGGCTTTTTCCAACGTCAGACAATCCCCACTTACGCCGTCTGCCCTACATCCCACAGCAGTGGTGGCTAAATTAGATGCTGTCTGAGGCAGTTGATCACCCCCTTTGTGTAGTTAAGGTGATAACTACTTTCAGACATTTCTGATGATAGAAGGTAGACTTTTGATCAAAGGGAGAAACCACTCCTGCCTCTTGGATGTCGCTATTGCCACTTCTGCATGGGACATTATCCGGATCTCACAAGTACAGTAGGTGTGATGATTCATGAAATGTTCGCTGAAATTCTGCAATGCGTTTTCGTTTCAATAAGACTACCTAAGTAGGGTTGAAAAATGCATCATCACGCAGCATAATTCCATAATAATTCAGTTACCTCAGAATGCCAGATTTCGAGCGAACTACTTTCCGGCTGCATGCAAGAACCACCCTGCAAAAAATTACTACATGAATTTTTCTCATTGATTTTCGATGCCTTTATAAATCTGAATATATTTCGTGCAGAAAATCATTAAACTATTCACTCTTTAACTCACTTGGGGGAAAATCAGGTCCTCTTCCAATTTTATACTCAAAAGTAGGGTGTAATTCGGTTTCAAAGAAGTTTCTAATTGTGAGATTTTCTAATACCGTGAAGTGCCTGTTCATAAAACGTAATGTCTCTGCATTTACCAATGTGGCCCATAAAGTTAACAATATGGCTCAAATCCACTGCCAAATTTTGTGAAGACCATATGGTCTCCTCTTAATATCGTAGAGAAACGCATGGTTTTCCGTACGCGGAAAATACACGGCTTGTAGTTTGGAAATCCTGAATGCAAGTGTAACGGTGGAGCGGGTTCAAGATTATTCCGGAATTAGAAACTTTTTTGAAAACCGAATAATACTCTGTCCTTGAGTATAAAATTGAAGGCAAACGTGACTTTCTACCAAATGAGCTTAAGAATGAGTATTTTTATGCATGTTTTCAATGAAATATAGTTACATTTTTATGTCCATCAAAAATCTGTGAGAAAAATTCATGCTAATTTAGTATTTATTTTTTTTTCCAGAATGTGCTAATATTATTGAAAAGAAAACGCATTTCAGAATTTCTGTTAACATTTCATGAGGTGGCACACCTACTGTCTGTACTTCTTAGAGAACAGAGTTCCGATTTCTTCGTCTTCTTCATCAATGTAATCGTGATACTGACGGCGTGCGCAACCATGAGCTTCAATCCTGGTGGCCTGGGTGATATTACAGAGCTCCCTCCACTGGCTTTCGGCATTGGTATGCGCCTCCAGGTGTTGCATTTTTTCTAGGTTTCATGCAACTGCCAAAATTCAACCAGCATTCAGTTGTACAAAGCAATACAGTAGTTAACTTGCTGGATGCTGACTTACACTGCAATCGCCTGCGTGGTTGCAGTTCCACCCGGGAATGGGGACCTCCTCCACCTAATGTAGGTAGTTCTGTGCCAAATCCCAGGAGGTGTACCTATTCCCTGTCCAAACCCTTAACCATAACCCTAACCTGGACATCCTGGAGTTTGGCGCAAGGCCACCTCTATTTGGGAGGTCCTATTTCCCTTCCCTGACAAAGCCTCATCATGGAAATGACAAGGTGGCGATCCGTTGCCCCAGTCATGAGCACGTCATGCTGGTCATGTCTACGGATGGGGACATAGCCCGTGACGTGAGCCAGAGTGCATTTACGTCTCCCTCTCCCGGAGGAGGGGGGAATGCGCTGGTCAGGCGAAGACTGTGCTCCGTGCAGGCCTACAGGTGAAGTTAGTTGCAGCTGCAGATCACGTGACGACGCCCGCAGGTACCCTAGCCTGTGACGACAAGGGCATTGAGGTCACAATCAGTTTGCCAGTCCTAACCGCAGCCACTAGGAGGCGTGCTGTGGGTCTTGATGAAATTTGGTCCTCACGTCATCGGAGATGTTCATTCCGGAGGGGGGGAGGACGTGGGCAGTGATAAATATGACGAAGTTTGTTCCTCGAAGAGGCTTGCTAATAGTCATGGGACGATGGTTGAAGCCCTGCGACAGGCAGGATAACTGTCTCACGGCGTCGTTCCTGATGGTGAAAACGACTCCGGCCTCTCGTCGTCCTGCCTTTGGACGTCCGCTCCAGGCGAATGTGTATACGGCGACCAAGACCTCCAGTTGTCCCTGTTCGGGTCTCACTGAGAGCCCTGACGCAGTTCGCAAGCGGGCGAGGTAGTTGTTTGTTGTAGTTTTCTGGTCGAATTTTTTGTGCTTTCAAGCCATGATTTGTTAGCAATTTTTAGAGTAGCCATTTAACTTACCCCTCCCTCGTGAGGGCTGCTTAGATCTCCCCAGGCGGCTACCGGAGTCTACCATGGGCCACGACTTCCGTTTAGTAAGCAAACGATTGGAACCGATCTAGTGCACCTTTGGGATTGTATATCGCCCCCGCTGTACGACCTTTTTGCCCGGGTGTGGGGAGGGAGGATGGGGACTAGTTCAGGGGCCATCGGATGTGACTGTACACATGCAAGACACCCTCACCCATCGCCCCCCACCCCCGGTCAAGGACGGTTACCGGAGTACAGTAGGTGGGCTAATTCATGAAATGTCGACCAAAATTGCAAAATACGTTTGCGATTCGAAAAGATTAATTAAGTAGGGTTGTAAAACTAGTCAGCCTGCAACATAATTCCAGAATATTTCAGTTATGGCAGGATAATGGTTTTCGAATGAAATTCCTTCCGGCTGCATGCAAAAGCTACACTCTGTAAAAAATGACTACTTTTGTAGCATGAATTGCTTCATTGATTTTCGATGCCCCTAAATGTCCAATTATATTTCATGGAAAACATGCAACAAAATATTCATCCTATGCTCATTCGGTAGATAATTATGTCTTCCTCCCGTCTTATACTCGAAGAAGAGACACAATTCGGTTTTCAAAAACCTTTCCAATATCCGAATAATTTTGAAGGCTCTCTAACGTCACACTTGGATTTAGAGTTTCGAAACTACAAGCCGTATATTTTCCGCGTTTGCAAAACCACACATTTCTCTACAGTTCATAAAATTTCGCAGTGGATTCGAGCCATATTGTTAACTTTACGAGCCACATTGATAAATGCAGAGAAATGACGATTTATGAACGGGCATTTCGTGGTATTAAAAAGTCCCACAATTAGAAATTTTTAAAAACAGAATTATGTCCCTTCTTCGAGTATTAAGTTAGAAGACGTAATTTTGTACCGAATGAGCAAACGAATGAATATTTGCGTAAATGTTTTCCATGAAATATAATTAAATTTTTAAGGGCATTGAAAATCAATGGGAAAAATGCATACTATATAAGTAGTCATTTTTTGTAGAGTATAGTTTTTGTGCGTAGCCGGAAGAAAATTCATTCGAAAGCCGGCATCCTGGCGTAACTGAATTATTATAAAATTATACTGAAGGCATATTAGTTTTTCAACCCTTCTTAATTAATCTTTTCGAAACGAAAACGCATTTCGGAATTTCGGTTGACATTTCATGAGTTAGCCCACCTACTGTATGGCCGCCGTGCCGAGCACGCTTCTGACGAAGCACATATGAGAACTGGGTGTCCAGACGGCGCGATGTGGATGTACCCATCAGGTTCAACGGTGCGTTTCTGGAGGGAAGGGGAGGACGTCAGTGTACCTTTTATAAAAACTTGCTACTACTTTTACCTTGATGTCAGGCACATATATTGCCCTCTATGTGCGTAAAAATAACCGGCAATGTGTCTGCGGTAGGGTGTACTCATCGCGTGAAGTCGTCCTACGTCCACCTACTGCAACGTGACTCCTGCCTACGTCAGCCTCTACACTCCATCACATCTTCCCGCACAACCTATCGCCAGGTTTTCTGAAATTAGGTGTCTATCTGCAATCCACGTCCCAAGGCCTCACAACTACTTTCCTGCTAGCCCGCGTTGTTTAAAGTAACTCACATCATTCCCGTAGGAACTAAAAGTTAAACTTTTTTGAAGTTATCAGAAGACGAGGTGGCGAGCGTACGTAGCTTTCGATAAATTCTCGTCGGCCCAGTCCAATTATGTGTGAATGGGGTAGAAGTAAAAACACGTCGGTGATAAGATAAATCGATAAAAGCTCTCCTTAAAACACAGGCGCGACGTGGGGGGGGGGGGGGGGGTAATAGCAGTCACTGTTGGGGACGGGTTGAGAGCGGAGGGGCGCGGAAAGTTGCGACGTTAGTCGACCTTCCACCAGTGTAGGCGCGGAGCCTACACATAAGATTTGCTTTCGTAACCTAATGGCGGCCGCTTCCGCTGTCGCTAACAGGCGCTTAGGGTAGCTCGATGGGACCTTATAAATCACACGAAAAGCTTCGTTGGGGTCCACGCGATGTCCGGAACCGACAACATGCGCGAGAACGGCGCTGCTAATGCCCCTCGTTTCGCCTTTTCCCAGCACTGCCGGGAGGTGTTCTCCTATTCTCTTGGATAAGCGCCGACTCGTGCGACCAATGTAACCTGCTCCACAAGAGCAAGTGAAGGAATACTTGTACATTGAGGTGGTCTGCGGTGGCAACTTACCCCTGCCTTATCCGCGTAAAATAGGGTTAGTGGGGAGTGGTATTTGAACCCTCGCCGCTGGGGATGTTCGCGAGACAGCTTGATCAAGGCGTCATCTTAAGAGTTTACTCGCAGCGTCGCCTTGGAAAGGGACTTTGAGGAACAACGTTTTCTTTTTGGCGGTCGGTTTGGCGGGTTTGATCGGCCGTTCGACAATGTTCTTTGCAATAAACCTGTCAGGATACCCGTTTTCGCGAAGGAAGCTTTGGATTTTTCTGAGCTCCTCTTCGATGCTATCTGTTGAGCAAATTTTTCTAGCTCTTTGTGCCAAACACCGGATTAGATTTCGTTTTTGTTGTAGGGGTATGAAATTAGCGAAGTTTGTGTATTGTCCAGACCAGGTTTTCTTCCGGTGAACGCTTCTTCGGGCACTGCCGTCAGGTCTCCTGCATGGAAGAACATCTAAGAAGCAGAGCCAACCGGCCGTTTCGATCTCCAGCGCGAGTTTGACCGACAGATGTGCCTGATTTGCAGCATCTAAGAGGGTAGCTACGTCGGTTTATGCAGTGGCAATTGAAAAGATATCATCAACATAGCGGCCGCAATATTTAAGCTTATCGATCTGAGAGCTTAGTTGGAATCTGTCCAATTTGCCCATGAAGACATCGGCTAGGAGAGGTCCAAGGAGTAAGCCCATAGCAACGCCGTCTGCTTGTCTATAGAGTTGGTTATCGAATAGGAACTGCACATTTAATGTGCATCTTAGTAATAGTGTCTTGAATGTCTTCATTGGAATTCCTATTTCCTGCTGACTTGCAGATGGAAAATCACAGGTGTAATCAACCGCCTCGGTGACCGGAACGTTTGAAAAAAGTCATGAGACGTCTAACGAGAACATCACCATCCCGTTAACGTTAAGGGCTTTGATGTCGTCAATGAATTCAAAGTGATCTCGGTAGCTGCGTGGTGCTAGTTGACGCTGTATAAGGGCTTGAGTTTCTCTGCTAGCCACTTTGTTATCGCATGATACGACGAGTTTCGCATGTCTAAAATCGGACGGACTAGCAGGCCTTCTTTATGGATCTTAGGTAGACCATATAGTCGAGGGATATGTGTATCGACTGGTCGGAGGTGTTCGAAGTCACGGTCGCTTATGGGGCCCTCCTTGTGTTGAGCCTTCTTAGACAGTCAGTCAGTTTCGTGTCTAATTCTTCTGTGCAATCCTCTCCTTCGTCTTCCTTCCTGAATTTTTTCTGGTCTGATAATATGGACTGTATCTTTGTTACGTAGTCCGATCTGTTCATTATAACGACGCCTGTTCCGTTCTCAGGTCTAGTTACCAGGATCTTTTTGTTCTTCCGATGTTCTTTTAATTTTTCCATGCGCGCTTTTGTCAGCATTCCTCGAATTTTTGGTCCTTTGTTTATGTACTGATAACTGCAACTCACTAGTGTTGACTCAGTTTCTGGTAAAAAAAACTGTCTTGCAGGGCTTCGGCCGCCCACAGTCCTTCTTCGCAAGCCTGCTCGGTGACAAGACGGAGTTCAAACGACCGGAATGCGGACTGGATCACGCCTGTCCACGCACCAACTGATTATCACAAAAGTGTACCAGAACACCATGGACCTTATCTTTGTGAGCGATTTAAGAAGGGACCACTGAGCCTTACTCTTCATTCTCATAATACAGATATATAGTAAGTGTCAATAAAGGTGAAAATCCGATTCCCGGGTGGCATATCAAAAGAAGAGGAGGCGTTCACCGGGAGAGGTGTATTTGAGGTCGGACGTTTCGGGTAGTCGTTTCTTCTACCCATCTTCTGAGACTGAGCACTCGTGCACACAGCTATCCTTTTATGGCGCACGTTGTTCAAGGCCTGGCCCATCAATGCCGCCTGCGTGGCTGCATCCGACCCGCATGTCACCGTGACCTGAATTCCGCCCATCTTCGTCGGCCGCGGTGATAATTGGCGGCCCCGATTGTCCCGCGCCGTGACTGTCCCCCGTCAAGAATGTCCGTAAAACCAGATAAGGGGGAGGTAAATTGATGTGGCGGTTGACAGAGCAGTCGGTAGACATCCAGGCTTCTTGCACCTGTCTTGCCGTATGATCATCTCCTCGGCCCACAACTTCAACGGCGTCAAAGTTGAAGACGTGTCCCATTTGGGCGGCATGGGTTGCTACCTCCGACTTTGAGTCCAACCTTCGCACGGCCAACTTATGCTCGTGCATGCGCGTTTGCAGCCGTCGGCCGGTTTCCCCAACGTAGTTACACATTCCGCAGCTGCACTGAAGTCGGTAGACAACAGCGGACATCTCTGCGGAATGTGTAACTACGTTGGGGAAACCGGCCGACGGCTGCAAACGCGCATGCACGAGCATAAGTTGGCCGTGCGAAGGTTGGACTCAAAGTCGGAGGTAGCAACCCATGCCGCCCAAATGGGACACGTCTTCAACTTTGACGCCGTTGAAGTTGTGGGCCGAGGAGATGATCATACGGCAAGACAGGTGCAAGAAGCCTGGATGTCTACCGACTGCTCTGTCAACCGCCACATCAATTTACCTCCCCCTTATCTGGTTTTACGGACATTCTTGACGGGGGACAGTCACGGCGCGGGACAATCGGGGCCGCCAATTATCACCGCGGCCGACGAAGATGGGCGGAATTCAGGTCACGGTGACATGCGGGTCGGATGCAGCCACGCAGGCGGCATTGATGGGCCAGGCTTTGAACAAAGTGCGCCATAAAAGAATAGCTGTGTGCACGAGTGCTCAGTCTCTGAAGATGGGTAGAAGAAACGACTACCCGAAACGTCAGACCTCAAATACACCTCTCCCGGTGAACGCCTCCTCTTCTTTTGATACAGTAAGTGACCTATCTCATGAAATGTTGGCTGAAATTCTGAAATGCGTTTTCGATCAGGCAGGATTACTTGGTCGCGGTTGTAATACTGCTTATCTTGCGGCATATTCTTATAACAATTTAGACTTGGCAGGATGTCGGCTTTTAAATGCACTACTTCTCAATCTCCTGTGGAAAGCGTGCTCGGTAAAAAATGACTACTTAAGTAGCGTGCGTTTTTCCCATAGATTTTCGATGTTCTTGGAAATTCAAATATATTTTATAGAAACCATGAACAAAAATATGCTTTCTTTTAGTCAATCAATAGAGGATCACGTCTTTTTTATATTTTATACTTAAGAAAGGAGTATAATAAGGTTTTAAAAAAGTTTCTAATTATGAGACTTTTTAAGACCGCGATATGTCCATTCACATAGCATCGTACCTGGCCGTTTACTACTGCTCCTCATGAAATGTACAACATGGTCCGCATCCATTGCAAATTTTTATGGACTCTGTATGATATCTCTTTAACGGCATAGAAAAATATGTGATTCTCTTTACGCGGAACGCATGCACCTCGTAGAGTGAAATCACTAAGCGCTAATGCAGCGAATGATCAGGCTCCAAATTATTCGGCAATCAGAAAACTTCTTTAAAACCTAATTATACTCCTTTCTTAAGTATAAAATATAAAAAGACGTGATTCTCTATTGATTGACTAAAAGAAAGCATATTTTTGTTTATGGTTTCCATAAAATATATTTGAATTTCCAAGACCATCGAAAATCTATGGGAAAAACGCACGCTACTTAAGTAGCCATTTTTTACCGAGCACGCTTTCTACAGGAGATTGAAAAGAAGTGTATTTAAAAGCGGACATCCTGCCAAGTCTGAAATGTTATAAGAGTATGCTGCAAGATAAGCAGTATTACAACCGCGACCAAGTAATCCTTCCTGATAGAAAACGCATTTCAGAATTTCAGCCAACATTTCATGAGATAGGTCACGCACTGTACATAGACGACGTTCGGGGATATCAATGAGAATCTGAGATACAAATGTACTCACGACAGTTTGAGTGTCGTTGCCGACGATGTCCACCACGTGTTACGCAGCGACGAGAGGTCATGGATGGTGCTTTGCTCGTGAATCAATTCATAGTGATAGTAGGCTTGCAAAACATCTGTCGCGCTTTCTGCTCCCTCGCCCACCTGGACACAGTGACATGGCATAGTTAAGACCAGAGATGAGTTTCGTCTCTACTTCTTCTGTACAATCCTTTCCTTTTTCTACCTTCCTGAATTTATTCTGGTCTGATAATATGGACTGTATCTTCGTTACGTAGTCCGATCTGTTCATTATAACGACGCCTGTTCCGTTCTCGGGTCTAGTTACCAGGATATATTTATTTTCTCTTTTTGACGTAATTAATGGAAGCTTTTAGGATTTTTTAAGGCTAAAAGTGTCCACTTCGTTCAAAATAACGATGCTTAATGTGTTACTGTTCCCCTCCCCCCCCCCGCCAAAAAATAATGAACCTATGTGACGTGGGTCAAAAATTCAGTGCATGCTGTGCTCAGGAGCGCATTTGTGGAACCACAGATAAGAGCTGGGCGACGGGACGGCACGAAGTATCCATCAGGTTCACCGGTGCGTTACTGGAGGGCGAGGGGGGGGACGTCAGTGTACTTTTCATAAGAACTTGCTATTACTTTTACCGTGATTACAGGAACATATAGTGTTCCCTATGCACGTAAAAGCAACCGGCAATGTGTCTGCGGTAGGGTATAGTCATCAGCGTGAAGTCGTCCAGCGCCCATTCACTGCAACTTGATTCCCGCCCTATATCAGCCTCTACACTCCATCATATCTTCCCGCACAACCTATCGCCAGGTGTCTATCTGCCATCCGCGTCCCAAGGCCTCACAACTACTTTCCTGCTAGTCCGCGTTGTTTCAAGTAACTCACATCATTTCCGTAGGCACTAAAAGTGAGACCTTTTTGAAGTGACAAATGTAAGTCTTTGGGACCTTTTTAAGGCTAAAGTTGTCTACTTCATTCAAAATAACGATGTATAAAGTATTAATATTTTTTCTCCCAAAAACCTAGGTGACGTGGGTGAAAAATTCGGTGCATGCTGTGCTCAGGAGCGCATTTGTGGAACCGACTTGGCTGGATGTCGGCTTTTAAATGCACTTTTTTTCAATCGCCTATGGAAAGCGTGCTCGGTAAAAAATGACTACATAAGTAGCGTGCGTTTTTCCCGTAGATTTTCGATGGTCTTGGAAATTCAAATATATTTTATAGAAACCATGAACAAAAATATGCTTTCTTTTAGTCAATCAATAGAGGATCACGTCTTTTTTATATTTTATACCTAAAAAGGAGTATAATAAGGTTTTAAAAAAGTTTCCAATTATGAGACTTTTTAAGACCGCGAAATGTCCATTCACATAGCATCGTACCTGGCCGTTTACCACTGCTCCTCATGAAATGTACAACATGGTCCGCATCCATTGCAAATTTTTATGGACTCTCTATGATATCTCTTTAACGGCAAAGAAAAATATGTGATTCTCTTTACGCAGAACGCATGCACCTCGTAGAGTGAAATCACTAAGCGCTAATGCAGCGAATGATCAGGCTCCAAATTATTCGGCAATTAGAAAACTTTTTTAAAACCTAAGTATACTCCTTTCTTAAGCATAAAATATAAAAAAGACGTGATTCTCTATTGATTGATTAAAAGAAAGCATATTTTTGTTTATGGTTTCTATAAAATATATTTGAATTTCCAAGACCATCGAAAATCTATGAGAAGAACGCACGCTACTTATGTAGTCCTTTTTTACCGAGCACGCTTTCTACAGGAGATTGAAAAGGAGTGCATTTAAAAGCCGACATCCTGCCAAGTCTGAAATGTTATAAGAGTATGCCGCAAGATAAGCAGTATTACAACCGCGACCAAGTAATCCTTCCTGATCGAAAACGCATTTCAGCATTTCAGCCAACATTTCATGAGATAGGTCACTCACTGTACATAGACGACGTTCGGGGATATCAATGAGAATCTGAGATACAAATGTACTCATGACAATTTGAGTGTCGTTGCCGACGATGTCCACCATGTGTTACGCAGCGATGAGAGGTCATGGACGGTGCCTTGCTCGTGAATCAGTTCACAGTGATAGTAGGCTTGCAAAGCATCTGCCGCGCTTTCTGCTCCCTCATCCACCTGGACATATTGACATGGCATAGTTAAGACCAGAGATGGGAGAGACCGCAGGTAGCTGGCACGGCATCAAATCGTACCTACGGTCCACGGCAAACACTTGACTATGAGATCCCACGGAGTGCGATTGCCACAGAGGACAAATTAGGAAGGAGCAACTGCAGTTCACCACCTCCCACCAAGATATCTTTGTTCTCTCTTTTTGAAGTGAGGAATGAGTGGGTACGCCTTATCGCTTCCGATCATTCCAACAGGTCGAAATCATCAGCGAGCCACGAACTCCGCCTGTTCCTTTGTCCGGTCTAGTTACCAGGATATATTTCTTTTCTCTTTTTGAAGTAATTACTGGAAGCTTTTAGGATCTTTTAAGGTTAAAAGTGTCTACTTCATTCGAAATAACGATGGTTAAAAAATTAATCTTTTTCCCCAAAAACCTAGGTGACGTGGGTCAAAAATTCGGTGCATGCTGTGCTCAGGAGAGCATTTGTGGAATTCATGCTGAGGGACAAGCAGGCTATTGAGATCAGCAATGCGCTGCGCACATTCGCCTACGACGGACGTCCCGAGGAACAGTTGTATGGAACCCTTGCCTATAATCCACACCTCAGTGCCCCCGGTGCCTGTTTAAAGGTCCACGAGCCTGACGACGAGGACGTGGAGACGATTCGTCTTCCAGCAATTGTTCGCTATAAACTCTGGACCACGACCTCCTGCCCTACCAAGTACGTGCGCTGGATATGCATCTTGGGATCGCAGAGTTTGCCAGATCTGATCCATGCCCCCCAGTTGTTTGCCAACAAGTTCCATGAGGAGTACTTTCCCGAGGGCTATGACTGTCTGGAGTTCGCAATCGCCCAGCGCAGCTACCGAGGTCCGGACGCCGATTTCGATCCATCAGTATATGCGAGACTCTACTGTTCTTCTGAACATATTTGACCAAACTGCTCTCCAATTAGTTCCTCCCGACATGAATATACGTGTCATACATAAAACGACTAATTAGAGATGGATAGAGGCATTGATTTTTATGACCCTTTGCTGAATAATGAATAGGCACCGTAGTGCAGACTGCGCTACTGACATTACTTTCGTATTGTACAGTAGGTGGGCTAACTCATGAAGTGTCAACCGCAATTCCTAAATGCGTTTTCGTTTCGAGAAGATTAATTAAGTAGGGTTGTAAAACTAATCAGTTTGCAGTATATCTATATAATAATTCAGTTACCACAGGACGCCGGCTTTCCAAAGAGCTTCCCCTCGGCTACATACAGAAACTATAATCCGTAAAAACTGACTACTTATGTATCATGCATTTTTCTCTTTGATTTTTGATGCCCCTAAAAGTCCAATTATATTTCATGGAAAACATGCATAAGAATATTCATTCTTCTGCTCATTCGGTAGAAAATTACGTCTTCTTTCGACTTTATACTCGAAGGAAGGGAGTAATACGGTTTTTAACCAGTTTCTAATTTTGAGACGTTTTAATACCGTGAAATGGCCGCTCATAAAACGTAATGTCTTTGAATTTACCAATGTGGCTTGTAAAGTTAACAATATGGATCAAATCCACTGCTAAATTTTGTGAACACTCTATGGTCCCCCTTTTTTTACCGTAGAGAAAGGTGTGGTTTTGCAAACGCGGAAAATATACGGCTCGTAGTTTGGAAACCCTGAATGCGAGTGTAACGGTAGAGCATGTTCAAAATTATTCAGGAATTAGAAAAGTTTTTGAAAACCGAATTATACCCGTCCTTCGAGTATATTATTTGAAGAAGACGTAATTGTCTATCGAATAAGCAAAAATATGAATATTTTAAGCATTTTTTCCATGAAATATCATTGGACTTCTAGGGGCATCGAAAGTCAATGGGAAAAATCCATGCTGATTAAGTAGTCATAATTAGGAGTATAGTTTTTGTATGTATCAGGAAGGAAATTCGTTCGAAAGCCGGCATTCCGAGGTAACTGAAATATTCTAGAATTATGCTGCATGATAAATAGTCTTACAACCCTGCTTAATTAATCTTTTCGAAACGAAAACGTACTTCGGAATTTCCGTTGACATTTCATGAGTTAGCCCACCTATTGTAAGCAAGAATTTTCGACATTTGCTAGCGTAAATCTGACTATGCACAGAAAGCGTTGGCTGTATGCAAGCCTTGAACTTGCTCTCGTTGGTCCGAACCCCACTGACGTCGCAGAGTTTTCTATAATCGGGTCAGTTGAACAAAATGCCTGATGCTTCATCAATCTAAAGTCACCATATTCGACGCGGTAGAGATGCCTGTGCATAATCAGGGGGTGTAATAACCCTGCCTTGTTCAATTTCCGAGGAAAGTAATGCGCGAGTTTGGGGTAAATCTTTCGGAATAGGCATTTCCAGGCACAGTCCGGAATTTGATGTGAAAACTTGAGCTGGAATCCATCAGCTACTGCGGAATAACCGCGTAATATTCACAAACCGCCAACAGGCAGTCGGTAGTATGGAATTGTGTAATTATTTAGCATACTAACAACACAGGTATTAGGTAAAAGCACAGACATGCGTGTTTCGCCCATCTTGTGCCGCTGCCTTACGCAGCTGAGAAGAGTTCGGTTCATCAGTAGATCCCCCTGCGTTTTCTGGTATATGAACTCCAGGTTCATCTTGCCTTGTTTAATTTCCGAGGAAATTAGTGCGAGAACTTGCAGTAAATCTTTCGAAATAGACCTCTCCAGCCACGGTCCGAAATTTGATATGAATATTTGGGCTGAACTCCGCAGGTACAGCGGAATAACCGCGTAATATTCAAAAACCGCCAACACGCAGTCGGTGGTATAGAATTATGTAATTATTTACTATACTAACAACAGCAGCTGGACGCATGGCGTGTTCGGAATGACCTGGCATGTTGGGCACAGGTGGCAACGGCCTGATTTGCACAAGTCCACCACAAAAACATTCCATTTAACTTAGAGAAGTTATTTAAAAAACTTCAGTAGCAAGTAAACATAAACAAAAGCGTGCCCAGAGGGCCCACATTTGATTGAACGAAATGATCTTCGGGGAGTTTGGCTGATCTTATAAGACCGGAAAAAGTAGAGGGAAACAGTCCTGATACGGCTTCAGCCAAATTTTAAACCTCATGAAATCAACATTAAATGGGGGAGAAATGCCCCCTTTTCCCGTGCTTATAAAGGTAAAGACTTCCGTTCATTTTTTACATCTGGATGACCTTACATAAATGACAGAAACAAGGTCGAGGATACGGGAACGATGGGAACACTTCTCGAGTAGAATGCATGTTGGCTTTATGAGCGTTTTTAGAGTCCGTTGGCAACCGCATGTCTATTTCCTAAAAGCCAATATGACGTGCACTAGGAAAGCTGGCATTTTAAGGGAATTGACAAGTTTCGGGATATTTTCTTCTTACCATGAGTTTCGATCAATTTTAGTACCGAGATCGGTTTGACGCCACAGTTGAAGAATAACTCGTCGTTCCCAAAAGATTCATATGTTACGATTGGAAGGCCAATTGGCAAGCATACGGTAGCTATGCTAGCTCATGAAATGGTAACCGACATTCTAAAATGCGTTATCGATTCGAAAATATTACTTAGGTAGGGTTGCAATACTAATCCCCGTGCAGCATAATCCAAAGATAATTCAGTTACTTCGGGATGCCAACTTTTGAACGAACTTCTTTCCGGCTGCTCAAAAGGACTATGCCCTGCAAAAAATGACTACTTAAATAGTGGGAATTTTTCCCATTGGCTAAGTATGTCCTTAAAAATACGAATATGTTTCATAGAAAACATGGACGAAAATACTAATTCTTTTGCTCATTTAGAAGAAAATTGTGTCTGCTTTAGATTTTATATTTGAAAGAAGGGCGCAATTCGGTTGGAAAAACTTTCCCAATTCCTGAATACTTTTCTATCTGACCTACCGTTACACTTGCATTAATTGTTCCCAAACTACAAGTTGCATATTTTCCGTGTACGTCAGATCATACGTTTCTGTACGTTATTTAAAGGAACCTTTATGGGGTTAATAAAATTTAGCATCGGGTTTAAACCATATTGTAAACCTTACAAGCAACATTAGTAAATGCAGAGACATGGTGTTTTATGAGAAGGCATTCCACGGTCTTGAAAAATCTCATAACTAGAAACTTTTTAAAACCAAACTATCCCTTTCCTTCAAGTACAAAATTTGAAGAAAACGAAGAAGAATGAATATTTTTATCCATGGTTTTATGAAACCTATTTGAATTTATAAGAGCATAGAAAATCAGTGGGAAAAATTCATGCAAATTAAGTGGTCATTTTACAGAATGTAGTTTTTGAAGATGGCCGGAAAGAAGTTTATTCGATAGCCGGCATGCTTAAGTAACTGAGATATCTTGCGATTATGCCGCATGGTAATCAGTATTATAACTCTACTCGAGTAATCTTGTCGAGTCGAAAGCGCATTTTGGAATTTCGGTTAACGTTTCATGAGTTAGTGCATCTACTGTATGTTTTCGATAATTCATCACCAGGCCACTTCAACCGCGTGGAGAATGAACTTGTGAGCTATAAACCGGATTTTTATGCGTCTTGGAGGGAAGGGCTGGTAACACTCGTCGTCCCCACGCTGCCCGCATGACAAAATCGGCGCGCTGAGAAGGTCAGAGCTGGGAAGGGGGGTTCAGGGTTGGGCGTGAGGGCTGTCGGTATGACATTTGTCAGGCAGATGTGGTCCACGTATCGACCGAAAAGTCATTGTTCATACCCTTGCTACTCATTTGCTTGACTTAGCCCGAGGATACTATGAATGACCTACGGCCAATACGTGAATGATATCTTCTGTCTGACAATCAAGTCCAATTCTCGTACATCTAATAGATACGACCCACCAAGTCAGCGCCAATGAAGCCTTCCAAGTTATCTACCGGGCGACGGCACACTACTCCAGAGGCCTACGCAAACGGGTGCTAACAACGGGCGAGGCAGTGGCTATTCGGTTAGTGAATACAGTGCTCTGTAGTCGGAAGACGTTGACACACAAGCAGTCTGTCTTCCCCGGCCGACTCCAGGCCGTGATCGCACGCTGCCCCAACGCCCTGCGAACAATCACAAGCACTCCGCGCGTTTGACATACAGACAGCGCTCACGCCATATCCTTCCCCTTACCCACCCCAGCCCCAACGTCCTCCCCACTCTGACTCCGTCGTGGAGGCCGGCGTGGGGACGATGAGTGTGACTAATGCCTCCCCCGAGACACATATAAACCCTGTCTTGTCACAGTGATCTTCGAGGCGGTTTACCAGAAAAAAAAGTGGAAGACTGGTATAACCATCTTCGAGTCTTAACTTTTGTCTGGCAAGTCCAAGCCAGTGACTTTGACACTTCACACGTCCACTCATGCTCTGTCTTCTGCGATCGGTGATACTTAAAGTCACATGAGAGTAGCGTTCACTGATTTCGGTTTTTGTTCCTCCTGGTGAATCCGGGATGTGCACCGCACCAAATGGTGAAAGTAGGAACACACATGCGGTATGCGACCTATCTCATGAAACCTCAAGACAGAATTCGATGAGAATTTTCGGATGTCTAAAACGCAGCGCATGTCGCTTGCTCGACCAACCTCTTCAAGGAAATGCCCTTTTCTTGTACAGAAAATGTGTTCACGTAATTATACCAGGCAAAATGTTCATGAGTTTGTGCGAAAATGTACCTTATCATATAGACCGGCAATTCTTTATACTAATATTTGCCCTAGACCTCAATGAAAGAAGAT